TTATCCGAACGGAATGTTATTCCGGATAATAAGATGATGAAAAGACACAGAAGTTGAAAGTATGCCTATGCTTTGTGCAACATAGATCTATTAGATATTCAAACCAAATTTTCATATCTTTCAGAAAATGCAGGCAAACAACTCACCAGGGCAATTGAAGAAGGCTTTACCCGCTGTTCGACAGAAGAAACAACCGAACATGACTGCAGCCGGGAGTTTGGAATACCAAAACGCACTTTGTATGACCGGTTGCAAGAGAGACCATTGGATACCTGCATCCGGAAGAAGATCCCGAGGCTGTTGACTGTAGTGGGGGGAAGGTGGCCTTGTAGACTCTGTGCTTTACATGAGCAGTTAGGGCTTCCCCATGACGAGGACCATGTTTCCGGTGCATGTGCGGGAGATTTTACGTAGAACAGTTAACATTCAATAAACCATTAAATTCTCATTATGTTGGCAAAATATTATGATAAGTTATTCTATGGAAGATTTCACAAATGTATGAACTGAAGCAACTATAAATGCTAAACATTGTTAAATACGGTGTCACAGAGGTGACATGCGTGTGTTTTTATTTATGACGTGCGCACGAAATACTATGTCGTGGCCACGAGATACTATATCGTGGCCGCGAGTGACTAAGTCGTTGCCGAAATAATTAAGTGGTGCGCCACGACATAGTATCTCATGCGCACGACTTAATTATCTCGAGGCCACGGCTTGCAGAAAAACTGGACCGTCTTATAAGTGGTTCCGGGGTTTCCTCGCCAGATACCCACAGCTGTCGGAGAGAATCCCGGAAAACCTGGACAAGTATCGGGCTAGAACGTCCAGTCAGCATACTATGGACGGATGGTTCGAGTTTCTGAAGACAGTTTTGACGAACAAGAAGCTCGAGATCAAGAAAGGACAGGAAACATTTATAACAATTGCAATTTTTATAAATTATTCTTTAATCTGTTAAATAATAAGTAAAAACTGAATTTCCTTTAATAACATCAACTATTTTCAACTTCATCTCTTATGCATAATTTTATTTTATTACAGATTTTCAACGTAGACGAAGTGGGTTGGTCAGGGAAGGAGATGAAGAAGATAAAGGTGTTTAGACACAAAGGGACCCACTGCTTTGCTGCCAACACTATTACATGCTGTGAACACGAGACAGTCAACATGTCTATATGCGCAGATGACAGAATCCTACCAGAGATGATTATATATAAAGTAAAACATATACATTTATATTATACATGGATTTGTCATGTTATATAGATTAATTATGCTATAATTTGTCTAAACATGTCGTCTTCTTAAGATTGTACAAAGGAATATTTTTAAGTGAGTCTTCATTTAATAAGCCATCGAGTGTACGCTGCAAATTTATACAGAGCTCCTAATAAAGAGTATAGTTTCATTACAACACAGTACAAGTAATTTCCTTCTAGGTAATAATAGTTCATACATGTATACCGGATTTCAGTATAACAGGAATAGTCACAACACAGGTCCATGCATGACGGTATACCTGGGAGCTGACTGTACGGCAAGATCGAGAACGGCTACATAGACGGATACTGACGTGGTTCAGTTAAACTGCAGTAGGGAGAGGCCCGTCCGGTTAGTCATGGACAACCATGATAGTCATGTAACGTTGTCATTGGCGGAGAATGCCATTTCAAATGATATTGTGCTGCTCGGGTTGCCTACCCACACAACGCACATTATGTATCTTATATATAAAATAATACATACATACATACATACATACCTACATACATACATATATATATATATAATTAGTTTCGTTTTATTATTTCAAGCCTCTGAGTTTCACTTGAAAGTATATGACCTGATATTTTGTACATAGGTAATTAGACCACTGAAGACCAGATTTAGTAATCTTGCGACGCACCTGGGCTTCGTCAACCCAAGCCTTTAAATAGGAAAAGCGCGATTTCCAGAGGTGCTGCGCCACGCAATTGAACAGATTGGTTAACGCGTCGGACTGTAATCTAAGGATTGCTGAACCCTGTCAGGGGCAAGCCGTTGTTTCCTTGAGCAAGAAACTTTTCATTCATTGCTTAATACTGGTTGGTTCCAGGAACGGATTCGAGAGTGTTTCAATAAGCTCATAGCTTCCAGCACAATCGAACTAAAATAAATTTGTATAAACCATTTAGACAGAGGCATAGTATAGTGCCTTATAGCCCGCACGCTATTGACAAAACACAGTTATTTCCAGCAGCTTTCACTAAACCAATTAAACATAGCATGTATGTATACACTGTTTATTATTTTTCTTATTTTATCAGTTATTTTAAGCGTAATGTATATTATTCAATTTGTTTAAGATTTCAAACATATATTTAAAAAGTAGCATTGCTCACTTTTAAAGTAATTCGTTCGTTATCGGTGTTCTTGCTGCACTTAATATAAAGCTAAAGGTAACTAACATTCCTAGATAACTTTAAACCAAACTTTATATGATTGTTCAGTTCGGAGACAAAGCCGATACATTCGTCAATTTTGTAAGTACATATTTTGAACAAGAAAAATATATCAAAATTACGATCTATATTTATTTCAGCTAGAGAAAAAGAAAACAACAACATTAAGACATTTAAAGCTTATGGTTCATTCATTACTAATTCCCAAGTGGACAAATGAGTGATTATTCAGTCAATGACGGAAGTATTGGGGCCACCGCCACACATGACAACGAGCAAAATAAAATCTTCACGAATTGTCACAGAGGGCCGGGTTATAAGTGGCGATGAAGTGCTGAAAAAAATAGAAGTCAATTCACCAGAAATCTGTTTTTGAGCATCCAACTTAGGTATTTTATGAAACCAAACAAGCACGTTTTGAATGCCTATTTAAACACTGTGTGCTGTACTTTATGTGATTCGTGATGTATTTTTGGGGTCTTTGGAAACATTTACTTGTATTTCAATACTTGATGTGGCTTAACCCTTTCCCTCATAAGCATATTGTGAAAAATGGCCGTTTTCATTGAAAAGCCTCCTGTTACAAGTTCAAACTGCTATGAAACTATGAAAAATTACTATTTTGCCTTGATTTTTTCCATCAAAATTTATTTCAAAGTGCTGCAACTTCTCAAGGGATTGAGGTAGAGTCAAAGGCTTTTCAGCATTGGTTACACGTTACCTTATGATCGACCTGGGGTCATTTTTAGCCTCTTCTTACAACCCCCTGATGTATCTTTTGATTGGGGGGCGGCGCCGAAAAAGTGCTCACTTATTTTTAAAGCAACGTTTCTCAAACGAAAACATGTGTTTGGGGCCCAAATAGGACATTTTTTCAATATATGAGGCCTAAAAGAGGGGGGAGGGTGTCGAAAGTGCGTTGTTTCGCGTATATATGAGGTAAAGGGTTAACAAAAAATGATGAAAAACTTTGGAATTACTCAAAATCTAGTTTTTTCATGTTAACATGTGGTCTTTCACCTTATTTTGATGAAAAATTGTTGTTTTGTAACATTTTTAAATTTTTTTTAGTTAACCCTTTCTTTCATGAGCATATTGTGACAAATGGCCGTTTTCATTGAAAAGCCTCATGTTACAAGTTCAAACTGCTATGAAACTATGAAAAATGCTTCAATACTAACCAAACTTGGCACAAATGTTGACTGGACCATTGCCTTTGTAACGACATGCTCAGTTTTAAATTTCCTGTTACCATTGCAACGAGGGGACGTCTCAAAATTGTCAAAAATCACTATTTTGCCTTGATTTTTTCCATCAAAATTTATTTCAAAGTGCTGTAACTTCTCAAGGGATTGAGATAGAGTCAAAGGTTTTCAGCGTTGGTTACACGTTACCTTATGATTGACCTGGGGTTATTTTTAGCCTCTCAAAAATCCAAAAAAATTTTGGCGATGAGGGGGACTACCGCCCCTTTCAAACCCTCTAAACAGAAGGGGGCACATTCCCCTTCTTGCAACCCCCTGGTGTATCTTTTGATTGGGGGCCGGCGCCGAAAAAGTGCTCACTTTTTTAGCAACGTTTCCCAAACGAAAACATGTGTTTGGGGCCCAAATAGGACATTTTTTCACTATTTGAGGCCTAAAAGAGGGGGAGGGGGTCGAAAGTGCGTTGTTTCGCGTATATATGAGGTAAAGGGTTAACAAAAAATGATGAAAAACTTTGGAATTATTCAAAATCTAGTTTTTTCATGTTAACATGTGGTCTTTCACCTTATTTTGATGAAAAATTGTTGTTTTGTAACATTTTTAAATTTTTTTTAGTTAACCCTTTCTTTCATGAGCATATTGTGACAAATGGCCGTTTTCATTGAAAAGCCTCCTGTTACAAGTTCAAACTGCTATGAAACTATGAAAAATGCTTCAATACTAATCAAACTTGGCACAAATGTTGACTGGACCATTGCCTATGTAACGAAAGTGCGTTGTTTCGCGTATATATGAGGTAAAGGGTTTAATCGTACTGCATAAGTCGGTGCAAGGCGCGAGAGGGATGTTGCACTATCTATTATCTGAGTATATTATCAAGGACATACAGCCAGCCTAAATAAAACCTCAACTACGTATTTGTTATTTTTGAAATGCAAATTTCAAACAATTGTAAGACAGATAGTGTGTGTCAATAAATATATATATATAAATCGGTATCAAAAGATAGGCATTTTATTTTGTTAATGTTGTAGGTTTTATACTCATTTGTACGACTTATAATTACTTGTAAACATGTTCTTCTGTACATTTTTTCTATAATTGTTTATTGTACTATTGGTGTAAATGCATTTACCATACATTTTGATTTTACAGTGAAACATGTATGTACTACTTGTCAAAAAGAGATGGTTTTTAACAAGAGCCGTATTTTTTAAAAGAAAGTAGTCATTCATTTAGGGAGAAGTATCAGTTCACTAGCGTAATTATGGAATAAAAAATATATAATAAAAAAACACAGGAGCTTCAAATTCTATCAATAATTGCTGTAAAGTCTGATTTAAAAAATCCATACCTATCTATAAAAAACATATATAGGTATGGATTTTTTATCGGACTTTAGAGCGATTATTGATATAATTTCAAGCTCCTGCGAAAAAACCTTGCCGACAATTGTATCATGTGGGGATAAGGACTAAATTAACAAAAGCTAAGATGATTTGGGTTGCAAAGAATTATTAATAAATTAATTTGGCTACAATTTTTGGCATCTTTTTTTAAACGAATGTACATTTTAGACTTCTAGAGTTCCGTTTGTCTTATATGAGAGTAATAGCCTATTTGGCTTGACCCTCCGACTAAATATATTATTGCCATCAGGTATTAATTATAAGCTCCATAAACAAGACGGCCAGAAAAAGTGTTCCAGAAAGTACCGCTACGTTTATTTATTGTTTCCCCAGAAGAATCACAACTCAGTATCTTCATTTTCACTTCATCGTTGAAACGAACCTTTGTCACAGCATCAAAGTTAAAACATGAAGCCCCACTTGTGTCGTGTCTATTGACTCTTGATAATTTAAAAGGTTTGTCGTTCGCCATGAAAGCTATATCAACATATTTTTGTTTCGCTACACATAATTGCACGCTAAATGTATAGACACCAGCATATGGAACTGTGAAGACGCCATTATCTTTGTTATAAGCACTGCCTTCATTCATCAGAACCTCTTCGAAGACCATGATAAGTCCTGTACGTATTGTAGTTTGTTTCGGATTTCGTGCAGAAAACAACACAAGTTCTGGTATTCGTACAAAATCTGCAATGAAAATGTATCCAAGTTATAAGAATTTAATTTGAATTTAGATTGACAATGAAGTAGTACTGTAAAAGTACAAATTTGACACAGAAAAGGAAGACTAGGGTCAATGGCATAAAGAAATTTGCGGTTCATAAAAAGTACATGTACCTTAAATTTAAAATGAACGGGCTTTTGAATATCACATCATTCTAAGCAAAGATATTCTTTCTGTAGTTGTATCAACTGTAGATCTTAATGAACTGCTTAAACACGGGAACGTCACTACAAAAAATCACTATTTGAATAAGTGTGTCTTATTGACATACGTATATCAAAATTAAAATAATATTGCTACTTTCATCTTTTCGTAACTCGATCAATGTTATTGTGTCTACAAGTACGTATTTATATAACTGATATTACCAATGTAATTGATATAGGTTACTTAAAATAAAATACGACGTACATTATGCTCTCTCTAGTCATATTGGGAACTCAAAGTTTTGGAAGGCGTTTGGTGACATAATTTCACTTAAATGTTTTCTCCAAACAAAACAATGTTCATACCCTACATTTGATTATCAGCACCGGAATTAACGAAAAATAAAGTCAGTAATGCTCCGAGTATCTCAGTAGAATTTTTATCAGATAATTGTTTTGTTTGTTTGTTTGATTGAGTGTCACACCGACACAGTATAGGTCATATGGGGAAGTTGGGCAGCTTTACTGGTGGAGAGAGACCTCAGGTGCCCTTCCGTGCATTATTTCACTCACGAACGAACCACCGGTGTGTCGGAAGCTAGCTGAATAGCGTCGGGACAAGTGGTTTGAAGCCAACGACCTTCCCACTCGGCCACGACGCCGAATCAGATACTGGAGAATGAAAACTGTTATTACATCATAAAACAAACCTTTCAATTCGGAATTCCACTTATCTTTCTCGATTTTGAGTGTTTTCAACTGCTCCTGAACCGTAGCTTTAGTTTCTTGGATGGCAGCTGCCAGATCTGTAGAACGTTTGTCAGATTTTGCTTTTAAATTATTCTCCCAAATAATTCTTTCTTCCTTTAAATCATCAAGAGTGGTCCGAGCTTGATTCCGAGATTTTTCAATTTCCTTCTTCATAGCTTCTACCGATATTTCGAGTCTAATCATCTTTTCTAACAGTTTTTCTTCATAGTGAAATTTTGAACATTGTGGTTCCGATACACTGCTGCTAACGAGAAGAAAATGAAAACAACATAGAATAAACAAATGATCATATTGTTATCTTCATACGAGAATACAAGAAATGTTCGCAGAAATACGTGAATTCTAAAATAAATCTGATCCGTGACTGAAAAAATCAAAGTACTGTTTCTCAATCAATTCTTTTTGGTCAAATTTTATCTTTTTCATTTTTCTTAAAACACTGTCATATATGATAGTGTCTTTTGGACAGTCACACTAAAAAGTATTCCCTTGCAAAAAAATCTCCAAATGATAGGAACGTTTTCATTTTTATTCCAATTAAAAAGCTATAAAAATTTGAAAATAACATTTTTCTTAGTTTTACATTTCCTCGACGATTCAATTAAAAAATTTAATTGGTTACTTTGTAATACAAAGGAAATCGTACTTTGTAATAATACGTCCCGCCAAGCTGGCAAAGCACACGGTAAAGAACATTGAACTCAACATTATTGCAAAGTTTCGCTTACGTTAAATGAAGTAATGAAGATATACTTGCTGTTATATAGGGGACGATTTTACCTTCAGTTAAAAGCAACCAATCTCAAATCAAGGTGTTTATTGCAAACATTATCCACTCTCGTGACTCTTTATCACATACAGATTATTCGTTCCACATTCCTCTTTTTTTCTTCTTTTTTTTTGCCAATGTATATTTGGTAACTTTAAACATAATTGTTAAAAAATACATGGAACAAACAAACCGTTTTGGCCAAGTTCAGTGTGACGCATTTTCATAGACAATTATTCTATTTTGATAAACTTAATAAGGTGATTTATGACATTACTGGTATGCAAATTATTACGAGAGAAGATAACGCAGGACATATTTTTACAATTTTATTAAAGAAAAACAGTTATTTACAATAATATAAAAATTATGAAAATAAAGTTTAACCCACCATTATTTAACAAATGTCCTAAAGTTTAACTCAAAGTTCGAAATTCAATTGTCCACAACTCAGATTTTTTCAATGTCCAATGTTCACAGCAGAATATATACAATATGTCCAAAAACACTTCCCACACATAACACAGAATTACAGAATCCAAACTAATATTTTGATATCATAAGTAAAATAGCACACAATCAGTATATCCACATCACACAATATCACAAATTAGCACTAAACACGAAGTACAAACATTCATCATATGTATACTATCAATGAACAATCTAGAATACTACTAATCTACTAAACTACTTACAAAAGGAATATTTCAGAATGAACTTGAATAGAACTTTCTTGAAAGAAGATGAACGAATATGAAAAATTATATAAACAAAATAAAATTATTAAAAATGATAGAGTCATATGCAGGTATCGAACCCACGACATCAAGTTTATCAGTCCTACGCTCTACCTACTGAGATATTCAGGAAACAGATTTTAGACATATTTAAAATAAAGCGTATATACATAACAAAATTAAAATAGACTATATTGGATAAATAAAGCAAATAGATTTCAATTGAAAAGTTTATTTTGCTTATTGATTTTATACTACATACTTTTCATAGTTAGCTTACGGAACGTCGATGGTTGTACTCAAGTACCCATTCGTGCCTGAAATAATGCACGGAAGGGCACCTCAGGTATTCCTCCGCCAGTCAAAGCAGAAACTTCGTTCTATGACCTATATTGTGCCGGAGTGACGTAAAACCCAGACAAACAAATAAACAATCTTTTCATTAAAGAGCTTCCACAAAAGACATACGAGGGTAAAATTTATATAATTGTAAATAATTCTATTATTTTTGAGTAAACTGGAAGATCCCCTCAGAATAGTCGTTCTAACGAAGGAAGCAATTTAAAAGTAGGAATCATTTTCAAATAAAGGTTACAATTAACATGTGGTTTGTTACCAAGCTACATTTATATTATGAATTTTAAAATATACCAAAAAATTGGTCTATCTTTTTCATTTATTTTTTTTAGTTAATGTTTTCAAAAGGAATTACCTTTCATTACCAACTTTTGTCAATATTCAAAATTACTATCATCAAAAAAAAATTGCAAATTCTTTTTGCATGTTTTCTAATGAATTTGTTCATATTTAACTTTAGAGCTTTCTGGATTTTAGTTGAAATTTATTACTAATAAAAAAAAACAGTTCATGACAAAAAAATTTTTAGAGTTAGGGCACTTTTCGTATAAATTACGTTTTTGAGTATTACTTTTAAAAATCTAGTGTATTCAATAGGTTTTTTTTCCCTTTCTGTCAAAAATTAATTTTACTTTTTATATGAGCAATTTATCACATTATCAAGTTTTTTTTAACATTTTTAAATTACCTCGGTAGTAATCTAAAAAGGGGAAGATTTTATTCAAAAAAACTGACGGGGTTTTAAAGATAAAAGTAAGATGACACTACCGCTTTAAAAATTTAATAATTATAGATCTAATATATTACCCCACAGAAAAACCAATAGGGGGTTTGCACCGAAAGGACCGACCACATGCCCCCGGTAGTCTGATCGGGATCAAGTTTTTCCTGTATTTTCCCACTTGAATAATTGATAACGAAAAAGATATCCTATCGACTCTGGATCCCTGCTGGGCCCAAAACCCCTTATGTTTGGTTTTTACGCGGCTCTATAAACTTTAAAGGGACCTTTCCAAAAAAGAGGAAAAAATTTTCCCTTAAAAACAACTGAGTTTACAAAAAAAAAAATTTTGGTTTTAAAGATTTTAGGGGGCTGAGGGAAAATACGCAAACGGGAATTATTTAAAAAAAGTAACACAATTGTAAACAAACTACTGTCAATAAGTAGCTTTTGAAAATTATAACTGGAAACCAAAAATAAAAAGCTTTAGAAAAATAAATATTGAAGCTTTCTGGGTTATAATGGGCCATCGAAAACATTGAAAGTTTGTTTGTTTGTTTGGATTTAACGTCACACCGACACATTATAGGTCATTTGGCGACGTTCCAGCTTTACTGGTGGAGGAAGACCTCAGGTGCCCTTATATGCATTATTTCAGGCATGATAGGGCACCTGAGTAGAACCACCGACGTTCCGTAAGCTAGCTGGATAGCTTCCTCAACATTGGAAGGTGTAACGACTTTATATTAAAATGATATCAAACTGTTTCTATATAAATTCGTCGAGCTCTCATACAATCCTATCTGCAAATTTGTAGCAATTACAATTTATTTGTCCTATTTAAGGCTTGGAAACGTTCATTGTATGAATGTTGAACTTTAAAATTGGGAGAAAGTGTGATTGCTCGGAAGCATTAATCAACACAAAAATACAGACATGTTTTATTGAGTCTGTACATGAGAGATAATGAAAGACAACATCCCTAACGCTCCCTAGCACCGGCTTGAGCGGTACTCAAGTTTAACACTTAAAAGTGTTGGAATCGTGTCCATTATGGATTAAACAATAATAAGGATTTTAATTAATTATGTGAATAACCACGTTTTCTAAACACAGAAAAAATTAGAGAATGTGCAGCTGGAAAAAAAAATAGCATTACATGCTAAATAATATAACCATTACACAGAAATGAATTCTAACAAAAGCCACCGCCGGACGAGGGCGGGGCAACGCTAGATTGTTTTGTACAAAATTATGTAAATTTAACCAAGATTCAATAATTTGACTCTGAGGGTCAAGATCATTTAAAGCTCAAGGTCAGGGTCAGTTCAACCTTTTAGAAGGTCTTGTCCTAAATGTTGTTTTATCAAACTATGAAGATAATCCATTTGTTAATTACCAAGTTACAGTCAATTATAGCAAAAATCAGATCTTATCCTAAAGAATATTCTGTTGTAAAATGAAGTCAATTCATTCAATAATAACAAAGTTAAAGCCATTTACAGCAAAAAATATATAAGAAATGAAAAAAAAATCAATAATTTGGTCAAGGTTACTTTATAAGTGATGGTCAAGGTCTGTCTGGTAAACTTGAAAGTATGTCCATAAAAGATTATTATACTCAAGCAACTTTTAAGACAATCCATTCAAAAATAACAAAGTTATAGCCACTTATAGCAAACAAAACAAGAAACATTTAGACAGTTGGCATTGAATGTCCTTGTTGTTGTGGCCAAGTATGAACCAACGCTGACTTGACTGTAACAATACATCTTTTTTCAAAAACAAGTCAAGCTAAAATTGGCTGAATGATGTTCATGTGCAGTTTTAGTTCATCACATTGTCTGTATGTAAATGAATTACAAAATTATAAATATTTTCGGAAAGTTAAAGTATTCTAAAGCCGATTTTTATAAGGAAAAAAATAATTGATACAAGTAGGCAGAAGTTCACATTTGCATGTAGTTAAAGTTTAATATTATTAAATTATATTTTAAATTTTGCTTCAGCTTCTGAAAGCCTTACAGCATGATTGATGCATGAACAACTTTAATAATTGTTTTTTCTTGATTTGTATGAAAGCGTATTTCCACTGTCAGGATAGAAAAGAACCAGATTTTGATGTTTGATCGATCGATATTATTCAAATATTAAGTGAGAAGATTTTGGGCTGCTAAGCCTTGAAAATGAAGGAAGCAACGTAAAAAGGCAGGGCAACATGTTTCTTTGGCGTAGTATGAAATTTGACAGTCTTTATTAAGCCCGCACCTATGAATCTGCTATAACCAGGTTAGCCACGTTACGTTACTATTCGATTAAAGATATTCCGAAGACAATGCCAAATGCGTATGAACTCTGATAAAAAAAAATAACTCACACAGTTACCATTAATTTTAAGCAGGAAACAAGGAGAAAAAACTTCCGGTTTTCAATGCAAACAGTTTGATAACATTTTGTATTATTGAACTTTAATGTCCTTATTTATTATTTCCTCAATATAACTTACAACCTACTACATGTACTAGGCCATGTGCAAAAAAACAACATTTGTTTCTTAAAAGAAAATTGTTAAAAATTGTTTCAGGTCGTGGATTATATTAAATATTTCTACAATACTGACAGGGTAATATAAAACGAGCTGTCACAGGAGACAGCGAAGCTCGACTAATTAAATAC